ATATTAGTTTTATAAACTAAACCATCATTTTTAATAAATAAATAAATAGCAGCTTAAAAACTTAAAAATAATTTTAATACCTCTGGCAACCCTAACATCTTTGTTTTTAATTTGACGTTTTTCCTTTATTTCATTGCTTGATGTATGACTGAAACAACACTATATTGTCATATTCAAATTCCCTTGTACTTGCGCATAGCATGTAAAAGAATTTTTTGTTATTGTTTTTTTTTTTAGTTTCAATTTTTTAAGTTGAATTCATGGTCAGTTTTCTTCCTAAAATCATTCAGCGTTGAAGTGCATGTGTAATTCTGTAATATATTGGTAGTTTTTTTTCGGAAATAATTAAAATATAAACAACCAAATTTTAAATAGTTAAATTTTGAACATTTTGCTTAAGGTAAAATAATTTAATCGTCTATTCTTTGAATAAATAAAATAACTACATATGCGATATGAAGTATAAACTAAATTATTTTATTTAACATTTGGATTAATCAGTTTTTTTTAAAAATGTGTTTCTAATTTTATATTTATTTCCACCAAAAGGAACAAAAAAATAAACCATTTTAAAATTTAGTTCGCTACTAATTTTTTTTTTCATCAAATACGTAAATTAATTTGAACACAAAGAAATTTGGTATGTAGTAAGTTTTCTCGCGCGAGTGCTTTATAATGAATTAGTATGAGGGGGAGTTGGTGGTGGGTGATGGGTAATGGCAGCAGCAGCAAGCAAACTAAACAACGCGAAAACTTTTAAAAGAAAAACAAGAAAACAGGCTAACAACCAATTTATCTTATTTGTGAAAATTTATTAAAAAAAAAATAAAGTAAAATGTAAAATATCAAGTACAAAATAATAAATACATTTGAATGGCATGAAATACTAAAAAATCACAAAAAACAAAAAAAAAACCAAAACACAAAACAGAAAACAATGTGAGGGCAAATATAAGTGCAAAGCAGAGAATATAGAAGAGGCAAATTGCAGAAAACTTGAACAAGGTCAAGTGACGTCTACTTTTTTTAGTGATTTTGTTTTTGTAACTGCTGTTATATTTTGTTACCTCTCATGTTTGTTATTGTTTGTGCTACTGCTACCGCTGCTGCTGCTGCTGCTCGTGTTATTGGTGGTGCTATTGCTGCTGCTTCCACATTACACTTGTCACCGAAATTGACAGCTTCATAGTGGTGTTTGTGTTATTTTTTTTTGTATTTCTTTTCATTTATTAGACAATCATTTTCTTTTCTTCATTCACAATTTCACTTCAATTTATTTTTCATATAATTTTGTTTTTATTTTTGCAGCCACTGCCGTTTTAAAGCTTCATTCTGAAAATTATCTATTAAAATTTAAGAAATAAACAAGGAATATGGAATCTGATGACGACTCCTTCGAGATTGAGAATGTTGACTCTGGCAATGTGTCGTCAGGTGATGAGGGTGACGATGACTTCGCTATGGAGGTTGACATTCCCACATCGCATGAGCGCCAAAACGACACCGAAGAGTTTCAATATGAAGTGTTGACCACCGACGAAATTGTACAACACCAACGTGAGATTATTGATGATATCAATAACGTTCTCAAGGTAAGTGGAGGGCATGAATGAGTGCTAGTGCAATACCAGTTTAGTGTAATACCAAAAATAAAGAAGTTAGAAAATATTATTTATGCAAAATTCAATATTTTTAATATGAATTCTGTGAATTGATAGCAATACGTTTGATCTAAAAATGAGGTCCTTTAGATATATGCCCGACGATTTGTGTCATTTTCAATACTTTAAATATTTATTATGCTAATGTACTGATAATAATGTAGTTATATCTAAACATATTTCATTATAAAATAGTTTTAATAGGTCTGTTGCTAAGGTCCATTTTATGTAGAGCGTCATGAGCCCGCCGCCATCTGCAAATTTGTTGTTGTTTTCAATGTAAATTATAAAATGAAGTGTAAGAGTAGAAACAATATGTCGGTACAAATTGGGCCATGAGATCCGATGCTACCTGTGCCTCGTCACTTAGGTAGAGAATTGTTATTCAGGAATAAATATGAACATTTGTGTCTTTTGAAAGCATATTATTATAATTTCTGTGAGATTCTGTATAACATGGTTTTTCTTCAAAACTCAAAAAACCAATTTTGCCGAGCTCATAACAGTCTACATAACATGGTCATAACATGGAATTTACATGAAAATTTTGATTGTAATTGTAGCTGTCTAAAATTTTAAACTGATATCTGAAATCAAAAAGCGAGAATATCGATTCACACGACGTTCATTGTAATTTGATTGTCAAATTTATTGATCAGATGTAAGTCTGATCAATAAGATTTAAGAATGAAAATTTTATTCATTCCTCAAAACTATTTATAATAGCAGAAGTTTGTACTGTACAATATTGTATTACGGTCAACTGTCCAAATTAAAATCAACTTAATTTTGTAGAAATTACGAATTAAATCTATTTTCAGCTGTCAAAATTACCATACATCTTGATTTGAACTTGTTTTGCTAATTTGAAATGACAACTAAAATTACAATTTAAATTCTCGTTTGAATCTAGTTTAGGTTAGGTAAGGTTAGAGGGGCTGAGTTTTGCCCAAAATCCACATAAGCTCAAATAAAGGTCACTTGTAATATGGATTAGCGTTGTTTATAAATAGACTAAAGGACGTTTGACGAAGAACTTCCGAAGACACGACTTTCCTATTCAACTGAAAGTAAACAAATCTGACAAATCTATAAAATTGGTCAAGCGCCTAATTTTATAGTGTGACAGCTTGGTAAGAAAGGGGCCCAAATATTTGAAATTGTCTCCTAACCAATAGACATCTCACATAAGATGGAGTACAGTTTTATCTTCATTCGCAGAACTAGAACACAACAAAAGTGATTATAGGGTAAACCCAGGCTCAAAGCATGTCGTCTTAGAACGCAGCGACCAGTCATCATAGATACCGTAGTGCTGAGTTTTTCCACTAAGACGTTAAAAGTCCTTATTTATTTTCTAATCATCAAAACAACAAGTCTGAAAAAAATGTGCTTAGTCTTGATTTTATCCATTGTCAATAAAGGTCCACCCATATTGTTTATTAATCAAGAACACACTACATTATATTAGATATTAATCGTTCAGGTTTATAATAAGCTAAGAGAGTTTTTGTAGGAATGTAAAGGAGAAAAAATTGACATTATGTATAATAGATTTATTTAGGTTGCAGTTTTTCAATTCGTGTTCCTATTTTATAGTTGTTGTAGCTCATATAAGGACCAAGCATGTCGAATTTTTATTGGGAAAGGGGTGCTGGTCGTTTGAATAAACGAGTGACTTTAGCATGTAGATTTTACCAATCTAAGAACCTAGTTCTCTTAAGTGATTTTATTGCTCTTTTTTCTTAATACTTTACTATTTTGGCAATGTACAGAATCATGATATATAAGATGATTTAGTTGATTTGATTTATGTAAATTTGTATGTATGTATATATTGTAGCTGCTTTTACACCATTCTTACAATGATTTCAGCATAAGAATTTGGCAATTAAATATATACATATCTTGCATTAATATACATACTATATAGAGATATAAATAATTATGCATATTGAAACGTCATTACGAAAAGTGATTTTTTTCAAGACGAAAAATATATTTTATCTGAAGAAGACAAAAAGGCCATATTTTGTCTGATGGTTTTGTGCATTAAATTTTGAACAAAGCTGAAAATATCGAACAGCTGAAGCGTTTATGTAAAGTGACATATTTCGCAGTTGTGTTGAACGGATTTCTACTAGTCAAAGATACATTATCTTTTGTAAATATTTTATCAATATATATTTGATAAATTTAGTTCTCTTTGTGTAACAAAATTAACTAAACAGCCAACTTGAAATAAGTTTTTAATTTGTTTGTTATTAATTTTTTTTAAGGTATATTTCTATGAGAAAAGCGAACTTTCTAAACCTTCTAAAGCAGATTTTCTAAAAACTGATGGAACTTCAACCATGCTATAAAATAGTGTTATACAAGTTTAGAAGTTAGTGTATATCTCAAAGTTACTTTTCAATATCGATACCCAAGTGGTCTTTACAACACCAATGGAGTTGTCGGAGTTCTATTGTTACCAAAGAACTAAAACAATCGGGTTTTCTAGACACTTGTGGAATTTTAAACTATACTATTACATAGTATATACTATAGAATTTAGAACATTTAAATTTTGCTTAGGTTCAAAATATAGGTTATGTATGGTTAAATTTGATTTTTACGATGAGATTTACTTAGGCCTGTTGACCTATTATGTATTATTTAATAAAGCTAACGATGTTCTTTAGAAAAAGTCTTGTTGTAGCTGACTAAAATCTTCCACAATATATGTCCCTATATTAAACAACTTACCATATATATTTTATAATTTTATATTTTATATTTTTTGATTACTTAATAAGTAGATTTTAGCTTGCAATTTGGCATATGAATTTGCCTAACATATTTATACAAACATGCAATAATATAATTCGTTAGTCGAATTAATTTAATTATTTTTAATTTTTTTTTTTTTTTTTCGAAAATAATACGTATTTCGAAAACATGCGAATTACTACGCATTTAGTAAAAAATAATATCTGACGACATTTATTTTACTTGCTTCTTTGGCTTATTAGTAGGAGTAATACGTATATTATATTGCTGTATTATTTAAAAGTGATCAATTAATTACAATGCCTAAGTTATTTAATCATTGAACCAAATTATTTTTTTTCTTATTCTGCAAAATATATAAAGATTGAACTGTTGCCTATCAAAAGTATTTGTCAAAAAACAATGATACCACTTTGAAAGCATTTTCTGTTAAATATTCTAACTATTTATTGAATGAAAAGTCCTAGTATTTATAACAATGTGATTTAAAACTATTCTTGGAGCGAACTATGTACAAATATACAAATCTAAACATATGTATATATACAGGGGTGGCATCAAAAAATCTGTTATCATATCCCGATAATGCACCTGTTCGTTGGCTGCTTTGTCAATAACATCTTTGAAAAAGTATGGTCCTATAAACATAACATCACAAATTCCACACCACACTGTGCTTTTTCAGTAATTTGAGGGTTTTCCATGACATAGAACTGACAATTTTGTTTGTTTACGGTTGCCTTTAACATGAAATACCCCTCATCATAATAAAAAGTCATAATGATTTCTTGCCACAAATTCCAATGGGCTTAAGTGCGTTGGACTGGTATGTACCGATAAATAGCAATATATATATCTATAGTTTTAGATATGCTATTATCACTTATTCTCACATTTATTGTCAAAGTTACAGTGTTACCAGATGGTTCCACTAAATGTAGCCAACCCTGTATATACATAGATTATTTTAGGTTATATCGGCGATCCTAAGGGATCCACTTAGGCCTAAAGGCACATTTAAAACACAAGAATCAAAACTACTGTAGACTGTTAGGTAGACGACTCTTCGTTTGGTTTGCGCTAGTATTTACTCGGGTTACATATGTTACATTTATTATCAGAATACGTAAATATTATTTATCGATATAATCAATAATAATACCTGTTTTTATTAGAAGTCGTTTGGTATGCGAAGTATGTAATCGTGTACATTTATGCTTGTAATGTATATATTATCCATCACAGATTCTATAATTTGGTATATTTTACAATAATCTATAATAGGTCAGCTGTATTAGTTTCTAGTGTGTGGTTCGCATATTTGTTATACTTCAGTCCAAAAATTCTGCGTAAAATCTCTTTCTATGTACAATAAATTGATTTTCTACATGTTTTTCCTTAATAAATAACACAATTTTCTTGATTTTAAAAGCTAATATATGAAGCTTGTGTAATCTTAAGCTTACATTATATTTTCTATCTAATCCGAATTAGTATCCGTATGGTGTCTACCGTAAATATTTCTTTTAGTTGGCAAATTCCTTTACATCAAAAAATTGTCTAGAACAGAGTTTTTTGTTTACATCCAAAACGCTAGTCTAGATCATAGTTTTTCTGTATGTAACACTTTTTTTTTGAAAGATTTTTGATGTTCATTCCTATGTGATTATAGTGCTTTTGAAGTAAAAATACTTTAATGGTTAATATTTCTTATCTTTTTATATGGTTTCATCAACCTCTTCAATCAAGTGCTTGCCTGATCATAAAGAAAATTGCATCGGAGCATTCTTCTCGCCTCATAAACGCGCTGTCGCATATGAAATATGAAATTTCTCTAATCAGTTTTCGCAATAAATTTTGTTGTGTCCAGGAAAATATTTGCATTTTGTCATGGTGGAAATAATAATATTGTTTATAAACAAAAATGCGAATACCGCTGAGTCATTTACTGCATTATTTTTTTATTTTACTATTTGCGAAACGAGAATCGCAGTAGTATATTTTCTTGAATGATATCATAACAAAAAAAAGCAGCTAAATTTAGCTTACATTGTTGGAGGCTGTTTTGTTTAAGAGATTTGCAGGGCTTCGCTTTTATACTATATATACGTAATAATAAGTACTTAATGTATAATAAATAAAAATTAAAATGATTCTAAACAAATAGTTTCGCATTCTATGGTAAATGGATGAAATGAAAAATATGA